TTCAAACCTCAAACCCGCGCGGCCGCATTCGGCTTGTGCCAACGCGACACCGATCGATGCGAAGAATTGGCGTGCAAAATCGTTTTCTTCAAACGTCGCCAACGTCCGGTCACTTCATCGGAGGTCGGTGACTTTGGTGCCAGAAATCTTAGTGGCATGATCAGGGCCGTAATTACCCCGTTTGGCACCCTTGGACAGGATGTCATGAACGTCCCCTCCCCCCTGTGACCCCCTGTTCCTTCCCCCCTCCCCCTTCATCGACTCATTTCCTCACTGCGTCTGTCAGTTCTCCCATCCCCTGGACTATTACCTGCGCATACACGTCAAAGTTTGCATCCCCTCGTTTTAAGTGAATCTAAATGGTAAAGAATAGATGGCATCTTTTAATTCAAGTATTCTACATTATAATACGCAGTTAACCGAATAGCACATGAAGGAGAGGCCATACGAAGGTAAGAGTTCTCATATTATCTATCACGATCTTGCACAAAAAAACATGCTAATTGATTTTTACATTTAGATTTTGCTAGTTTCTTTTTGCTTTTTCTCTCTTGGATTGGACTACGCAGTCTTGAACCTCAACGACGCCCTCTACATCTGATTACTAATTGTATTTTCTCTTACTGCTAATTAAAAATTAACCCTGAGTTCATGTCTATAGCAATTTTGTTACCCACGAGGCGAATCCCGTGAATCCGGGGGGACGCTGATGTGATCTAGACAGAATAGTCAGGAGTCATTAGTATCCCCAAGAGTATTCATTGGCACGCTCGTGGGTTTCAACAGCACTGCTTTCTTTCCTCTTTCGAGAGGCAAAGATGTCAGTGATGCGGTAAAAATCCACTCATTTCGCTATTTGATTTTCAATGGAGAGCATCGTAAGGCTTTTTCGGCCCATCGTACAGTAGATCGGGTGCTGAACCCTTTCCCTGGTGTCCACTCGAATTCACGTGGAGATCTCCGAAACGTTCGGATATCCCTGCCAAGGAAAGGGTCAAGTTTGCTGAAACTTTCATGAAGCGATCGATGAGGGAAGGGTAAGAGAAACCCAGAGAGCTATCCTTTAAAAACGTTTCCGTTCCATCTTTTAACGATTATCTTTTCATTGTCCACGAGAGTGAAAAGATAATCGTAAGCCCCCCTCTGATTTATGGCCTTGGACATGACTACAAGACCGAGAAGGCGATGGTCTAGGAGCGAGATTCACTTTCACGCCGAATACGAAAGCCTAAAGTAAGCCAAGTCACCCGCCTCTGCTCATCCAGCCGCTGCGATCCACGTTTAGGCCTAAAGGATGTGGATCGGACTCACCGATGCGACGCTTCGCCTGGTTTCCTCTTGTGAAGTTCGCGCTGTCGTGGCTCCCATGGCTAGCTGATTCACTGTTTCCTAGACACAGCTCGTTCACCGTCTCTCGGGAAGGATTGAAACTCACTAAGTTCAAGGAAATTGTCGAAGTCTCGTGCACGGCACCATTTAACTCGCACTGCAGCACACAACGACGACGTCCACCGAGGTCCTTCCAGTCGCTGGACACCCTAAACCACTGGTGCCTAGAGCCTACTGTTGCCGGGACCGCCCCGCCATCTCGCGGATCGTCCTTCGCTCCCGCGCGCCATCTGGTCGTCGTGGCGGCTGCTAACACCATCCAAGAGCGTCATCCTCAGACGCTCCAGTGCATGGGCTGAGAGGGTGGCGAGGAGGTGTGGTCAGACTTCTGTGAAGGAATCGTTTTTTCTTTTCTTCCTTCTGGACTTACAGCCGAAATAATTTTGAATGACTGACGCTCGAATTTGCTTTCTCTGTGTTTAAACCATTTTCTAGCGTCTTCGTCTCGGCTGGCCGTCTCGTCACGGATTTCCTCGTCGCCATGGTTTCTGGAAGCTCTGATGCCGTCGAAGGCGACGTCGTCGATCCTCGTCCGAATGGAGACGTCGGCGACGACTTCGACAGGCGCAGAATGAAAGGACCTGCGTCCTCCTGGGCCGATCCAGACTTTGACGATGACCTTGACCTTGGGATGGACAGATCCTTGAGGGAGCCCCCCTTTGTGACGAACTCCATGTCACTCCTTCGAGACCGATTCCCGAAACCTACAAATGGTGGATTAAGGGGGGGGGGGGCGACTGCGTCCTCTTAAGCCAGGTTCGCATTCTATTTTTATTATTTATTTAATAAAGCATATGAATTAAATTTCCACTGGTGCCTGTGAAATGGATCAGGTTTCACCACAGATGAAAAAGGCGATAGGACGGAAGATGATGGTTGTGGGGGAGGGGGGGAGGGGGAGGGTGCTAGGAATCTGAAAACATTGTAGTATCTTTATAATACATTAGCCTACTATTACCAAATTTGCAACACTTCCCAAGGAGTACATTTTTCCATTATTTTTTCATTTCATGACTTAACTGTATCTTCCGTAAGCATCCTGTCCTTCACGACGAAGCGAAGAAAAAAAAAGCATGACGATCCGATCCCCGACTCGTTTGAATGATTTTCCCCCTGCTGATTCCGGATTCCCATTCCGCATCGAGCGAGAAAAACGGCATGCACGAAGTAATGCCATTTCAATCGTTGCACGAATTCTACGAAATGCGTCGAATTCTCTCCCCGTCTTCCCCGAATCGTTCGGCATGCAAACGATATGCCGCACTGAAGAGATTCTCGGGAGCCGAAACCGACGAAAAGATCATCGCAATCGGATTTGGAGAATCCAGCGAGATCCCATTTCCTCTCCACCGCGTCATCGACGAACGCAAAAAAAAAAGCGATAGCCCTCACCCCGTTGGCCCTCGCCCCGATGGCCCTCACCCCGTTGGCCCTTGCCCCGATGGCCGGAGTCTCTCGCTTCTTCCTCGAACATTTTCGCGAAGGAGAACCACGTGAATTTTCCCATGCTCTTCTGATGCTCCTGTGCGTCAATGATGAATCGCGCTCGATTACATTAATAACGCTTTGGCAACGTGAGGAAACTTCTCTTCTTTCAGGAATTCGGTTCGGGAACAATTTCTCTTCGTATCTCGCTGCATCGAGTGTTCGAGCGGATCGTTGCTATTCCCTCGCGATTAACTTTCCAGGCATTCCGCGAGGTTCCAACTTTTCGCTTCGAATCAAAATTCTTGCAATAATTCTGAAGTAACTGAAACAAAAATTGCTAGAGGTCCCCTGGAGCCTGTCGAGTCCGATCGCGAACCGATGGCGATAATAATAATAATAATGATAATTAGTGTCGATAAAGAACCAGTGATGCCAAGGCTACTGATCATCTTTCACTTCCGGGATTTCATTTATCAGAGACAAATATCAATTGCAGGTTAGTACTTTCGCGACAATTTCCGTTCACTGACGGCGACGAACCCTTTCGCCTTGTCGATTTTCGCAGCCAATTTCCGGAGTGATTTTTAATCGTCTTCGCCCTGGCAACCCTGTCGAGGGCCCAGAGAGACGCCTCGGACTTCGCGGATTTCCCAGGGGAATTCGAATGACGTCGACGAACCCCGTTTCTTCGCTTGCTTGGGCACGAAATCGAGCAGTCTCCGCTGCAATGCAGTCCTCGCACACGAGGCTATGATCGGAACGTCGAAATTCGCATCTCACGCTTCTCTGTCGTGGTTTTTCGTCCGATGAAAACCGAAACTAACCGAAATCCGGGAACTTATTCAAGCCACGAAAATATGGGAGCTATTTTCGTCAAAGTTAGGCTTACGCCAATCCAGGAAACTGTGCTACCAGAGACACTTCAGCCGTGAGTAAATTTCATTCTTACCGAGAGCCTAGGACCTGCTGAAGCTAACCTCGATGAGGACGAATGCTGACATCTTTTCATTCTCTTCCGAACAGAGCGATCGGGCGGAAACGCGAGACGTCGGCGAGTTCCGTCTCCGAATGCAGACGACGCCTCCACCCCCTCGCGAGAGACATCTAGTGAGAGTCGGGAGAAGCTCGGGAGTCCGCTTCCCCCGCCAGTCGCAGTCGCTCGGCGGGCCGGGGCGGATGTCTCCCCGCGCGGTCTTCTGCTTGATGCGAGTGGTGACCGTTCGGGTCGTTTACCTCTGCCTGTCCTTGTCGGTCTTTAAAAACGGTTCAAAACGAGATAATGAAAAAACAGTAAAAATCGAGATAAAAAACAGTTAGGCGTTTCCGCTCTCCGACCCGAAAGGTACACGGTGTCGGCTTCTTTTCGATTCTTTCTTGGTTCTGCTGTCACTCGCGCTCGAAGAAATAATAAAAGCGTACTCGTTTCAACGCAGGCCGACCTCTTTCGCGAGAATCTGAATCTCTCGTTCATGCGACACTAATCCATTTTGCTCGGAGATTCGCGAGTGAATGAATCCTCAGCAACCGTGACGTCGGCTCGCCCCCTCGGATCTGTCAATAACACGCGATGGAAATCATGCAGTTCCTATCATAGAGAAGAGAACGAATAGATGACGCGTGCAAAACGTGGATTTTAGATTGAAGCCGGGGTTCGTGCCGTCCGACTCCCCTGGCAACCGAGTAGGCGTACTCTTCGCGTCATCCTCCAGGGGGGAAGGTGGGAGGCAGGAGAGGCGGGAGGCTGCGTCAAAGCCACGTGTCTTACCGTGTCGTAGACTCTTCGTCTTGCATGCGTGTCGCTCTGCCCCGCTTGTCCCTTTTCCCATATTCCCGGCTCGAACAAAGGGGATCTTTTGAAATGACTCTGGGAATCTCCGGTCCGGGTCAGTTCGCTTCGGTGCCGGTACGTGACACGCTCGTCCCTTCGTACCCTTCCGGAGGCATTAAGTCCGAGGATCGGCCCCTCCCGTACTGCCGACTCTTTGATGCGGAACCGACTCGGTTTCGTTTACCACCTGGTCGAAGTTCTCAAATGACGTGGCGTCGCGCGACCGGATTTAAGTGCGCTAAGTGTTCGCGGCGCTGAAACGTTCCTTTAAATTGGGACATTAATTTGCACTAAATTACATTTCCCCTGAGTAATTTCGAGAGTAAGATTTAGGCCCGACGTCTTCAGGTACAACCTAGCAGTACCGTTGGGTCGTGCCCTTGACTGCAAATACAGGATCGATCGGTGGTGTGACCTCCGAGTGACGGGAATCCATCCCCAAGGCCAGTCCAGGGACGCCTGGAGATGTCCACTTCCTCCTCTCATGTTCCAAGGGCGAAGGCCCACACTCCTCGTGACTCACGGGCCGAGCGATGCGCAGCGCACGGGCACATGCCCCCATGATGCCCTGGCTCTGCTGCACTCCCCTGGCTTCTATCACGGTCGTCCGTCTCCTTTGTTGTTGTTCCTCAGCTGTCTCGTCGGGAGTCCGTCGTCGAGTCTCGTCCACGCCCGTCTCTCACGTCGTGCCAAAGAGAGTTTCGTGCGTTGAACCGACGCGGAGACCGAGAACTCGATAGGATTTACACAGTGCCCGCACCTCGACCTAATATTAGAGTTCAGACTTAGGCCTACGATTGGTGTAGCTCGTGATGGCATACAACTTAGGCTTCATCTGATTGTAGTTATACACCTAGTGTGACCCAAGAATGGATCGATATTCCGAATGGGCCTTGGCTTACGATAGGATTTGGATTCAGATTCGTAGTTATTCGTATCAACCACGCTCCATTGACATGCAAGGAGTCACATGGTCATGAGCCATTTAAATCCCAGGGGTTGCACTACTTAATACATGCGATGGGAACTAGAGGGCAAGATAAAAGCCACGAATGAAGGTGGTGACAGTAGGCAAGTCTTGGCCTAACCTAATGACCATCAAAATTTGATCAAGAATAGTATGCATTGATAATAAGAGCTCAAGATTGCCTACCCTTGGTGTAAGTTTAAGTAAAGAAAGTCTTGAGTACAGTAAGAATTTCCTATGGCTAGGCGTCATGGTATTTCACTACTTGATGGTCTAAGCAATTTTAAGTTGGCTAGAATGCCTCTGCAGTAGTGGTATATTTAAATAATGCAGCTAATGCAAAATTTATATTTGAACCTGTTTGTTCAAGCAAAACCTTTGGATTGTGAATGTTCTAGGCCTCATTTTCTTTTGTTATCTTCAATTTCCTGGAAGCAGTGCATATATATCATTTGTGTGAGCATTCCAATAGGTTATGTTTTCCTTGGTAATCAATGACTGTATCTTGTGTATAGGAATGCTCATTTATTAGTGGAATACTTACTGTTCATGTAATGGGTATCTGAATCGTTACAATATCTTGGACATGATATGACACACTGTATTTGGATTGAATTTGTACCCCTCCTATAGTGGAGTATGAGAGAAGACATAACTTCTAGAGGATCTGCTTTATTAGATGATCCATGCAAAATATCGCTACCTGCAATCGATGGAAGCACCCCTCTAGGGGGTTGTGAATTATATCTGAAAACATTGTAGTATCTTTATAATACATTAGCCTACTATTACCAAATTTGCAACACTTCCCAAGGAGTACATTTTTCCATTATTTTTTCATTTCATGACTTAACTGTATCTTCTGTAAGCATTTGGGTATTCCTGTGCTTAGACCTGAATCCCCAGGGAAATCAATCATGGAAATAAGATCAGTCATAAATTATGCCTTGGCAGTACAACATAGGAGGGATGACCCAAAAGTTTATTCTCTGAAGTTGTAAAAAGAGATGGTTGAAAGTTGGTACCCTTATTCTTTCATCAAATTTGGAGATTTCAAGGGTCTACAATTGTGTTTAAATGAATTTTTAAATTTTATTTAAATAATAGATATTTATAGAATGTTCCAGCCAAATTTTTAAATTCAAAAAGGCATAAATTGAATATGGAGCAGTAATGCAATTCTTAAAATTATTATTTGGGGCCATTTATTCAATATAAACTTATTTATCCCTATAAAATGACTCATTAAATGCTGTAAAATTTCAAGCAAAACTTCCCCTGAAGCAGACATGTAGGTGAATATTCAAATCAGTGTAGCTGTCCTTGTGTTTTTAGACCACAATGAAAAATAAAAATTTTCCCAAGAAAAATTAAGCCTTGTCCCATCAATCTATAAGTGTTGATGTAAAGAGAGGTTATGCTGAAAATGTTTTTATCCTCTTGAGTCACACAGTCTCGAATCACATGCATCTCAGGATAGAAACTTTGGATCATCCCTTGTACATGACTTGGAATTGAGCATCAAGTCTCAGCCTAGTATAACCTCTGCTCTGTATTGGTTCTGCCCCCCCCCCCTCCCCCTCACCCATTAGATGTAGCACATGGTTACTAATTCCACAATGCTGCAATTTATGAAGTGAAACTTGATGCAATGGGGGAAAACAATCTCTAAACCCATGTCTCCATTACTTAATTTTAATTTCTCATAAGTGCTCTAGGACATTATGTCTTGCCTGTTCAGTTTTTCCTGAGGATGGACAGATTGGAGTTACTCACCTCAAGAGCATTTCCTTCTTTAAGATGAGACCATTGCTTTCTTTAAATCTTCAAGACCTTGTGTCGCACACATGGAAGAAAGTTCTGATGTTCAAGGTTTTTCATGTTTTGCCTAGCAGATTGGTCTTCAACTCAGAGAAATACTATGTCTTCATATGTGGACTTGGGATCTCAAAGGATTAAGATCTGCTGTTCATGTCCTATTGATAGATGAGAGCTTTGCCAAGTGAGCCAAGGGCTCGGCAACATAGGCTGCAAGCAGCTTCACATTAATAGGTCTAGATTTGGGCTGTGATATGCCTAATGTGAAAACTACTTTGGTCCATACTGTTAAGTTGTGCATATCCTGTCTATCAACTATGGTTTTACTTACTTTCAGGCTTCTGTGTAGGCCTAAGGCTGGGCCTTGATTAACCAGCCGCTTGCACAGTTAAAATGCCAACTTCCAGGAAATACATGAAGTGGGCCTAGCTGGATTTGATGGGAAACTGTTTCTGGAAGATCATGGGCAACTGCTTCAGTAGTCCTACATCAGATGACATATCCTTGCTAAGAGGAAGCAATGAGCGTATGGGACCAAGAGATTCAACCATTTCTGACCATCTTGGTCCTCCTCCTCCATATGTCTCCCATGAAGATGAAGTGAGTTTCCTAAACCTGTAATGAGACTTCATATCCCTTTTCAAGCTTTTCCATTCTAAACCAGCTTGAGTTAAACCTAATTATGAAAAGTACAATATTATTCCAAATGGAATGTAACTTTAGGTTTGGCACTTTGGATATGGTCAAAACTTGAGTAGACTCTTGTGACTGTGGACACTGACCTAGGAGTTTCTCTGTATTGAATAGCCTATGACATGACTTTTAATGGCAGCTCTCCTATTAAGGGTATCAAATTTCAGGTTTTTTTGCTGCATACTCATCTGTGATGTCACTAGGAGTCAAGTAATCCAACCAGTAATTTTTATCTGGAACTTGGAATATATATTGAGGGAGAGACCAAATCGCAAACAAACCTAAAGTACACAGACGAGTGATAAGCTCTATGTAGCGGATCCCCTCCAGTATACCTATGATCCAAATTTGAACTGATGTGATTCCCAGATTTTTATTGCCATATAAACTCTAGGACAAAGTTAGCACATATTCTTTTCCTCAGTTGAGTCTTGGGAGAATGTAGATTAAAGTTGAAAATGTTCCTTTTTTTTTTTCTCTTAGGATCATGCATATATGTACTTTCCCTCACCAAATGTGAGCCGTCCTGCATCCCAGTTGACGGAGGAAGAGCAGATTCGCATTGCAAAGAGGATTGGGCTCATTCAACACCTCCCTTCAGGTGTCTACGATGGGAGCAAAAAAATCCGAGAGTAAGCTGTGCATGATTGTATGAGTAAACCTCTATTTCAGTTGGCTAGATATCATTCATGTAAGAAAAGTAGAGGCAGAAAATAATGCATAATTTTTTGGTTGAAATTAAGTTTTGAGATCGGACAATGTTGGGTATCAGTGACTGTCTGTCGCATTCTGAGAGATAGTATGGGTCTTGTTTTGGTGAATGAAGGGTATATATTCAAGCAAGATCATGTGGTTTCTACCTATGCACATGGATTCAAATATTTTAATGGAGTCATGGCAACTGTAGGAGATAATGGAATTTATATTGCTTGAATCTGCCACATTGCCTTGGTGGTTTAACACATGCTTCTACCCATGATGAATCTTTTCATGTGTTTAGGGGTTAAGATGGCTATCTCTTGCTCTTCATGTCTGTTATTCCCAGTTATACTTTAGAACTATAACGTTTGCCATAATTCTCATAATCTTACATTTTGGGAATACATTTTCTTGATTTCACAGGGAGGGAGGATGTTTAATTGAGTAAAATTTCATTTTTAAATTTCTGTGAATGCTACCTGTCAGGTTATGGTAGAGCCTACTTTGTGATTTCTAAAAATTTGTCTCTTTCCAAGAGATCAGCCATAATTCAAGTTAATAGATTTTGTGAGAAGAAAATGTGTTACTTTGAAACCTTGATTACCCAACTGCATAGATGGAGGATCACATAATATCCATGATGTTATTGACATTGGTAGATATTTGCTGAAATTTTTGCATTTTCAAACTAGCCATAAAAACTGGAAACAGGAGTCATGTCCTGCATCTGAAACTAGCATTTTTGTTTAGCTGCAATGCAAGGGTCACACAGCCCATCCATACCTGATGATGTATCAGCAGAGTGATATAATAAATAAATCCTAATCAGTGTGGCATCAAGTTATTTTGCACCTTGATTCCTTGACAACAGGCAAAGTTTCTGCCTTATCTATGCATGTATGGAGAACTTGTCTGAGAATATAAGCATACAAGCATCAGAACATAGAAAGATTTTATGCTGTTGGACCAGTTCCTCATCTGGCTTCACATTCACATGCGAGCTAATGGAATTGTTTCTTTTATAGATGTGTGATCTGCATGATCGAATTTGTGGTTGGAGATCACGTGCGATACCTCCCGTGTATGCATACATATCACGTGGACTGTATTGATGACTGGCTCATGCGAAGCCTCACCTGTCCTTCCTGCATGGAACCGGTGGAATCTGCGCTTTTGACCAGCTACGAGACCAATTGACTGCTTGACCTCTAAATGTCAGGTCCAGAGGCTCAGTCTTTCAACCGCCAAAAGGGATGCAGACCGATCGCATGCGACGAGTGCCCCTTGCCAGTGTGAATGGCCCCATCTCTCCTTGATGGAGAATTCAGACTTTCATCTGTGATGGTTATTTCACGACTCTTCAAGGTTTTCTCAGTTTCTTTATTTTTTTCTCCTCTTGGACCACAGAGAAGGTTATGTGACCAGCTTACTGTTTGTCTAGGCCTTGTATATTCACTGTGTTAGGGAATAGCCCGATGTCAAATTTTCTTAGGGCTTTCTTTTCATAGTTTCTTCTAATCTTTCTAGTCACTGATTGTGGAGTAAGAATCTTCCGTGATAGCAAATCGTGAAGGAGATGTCTTTCCCATGTCTTAGCATCTGCCTTCACATGTGGTGCTGCAGAGCTTTCCATTTTCTCTATCTTTTTCATTTACCTCTCTGTCCCCCTTTCCCTGCTGGCCAATAATGATGCAGGAGGAGTAGTATGAATAATTTCTCATTCACAACTAGAGATCATATTATAACATACTGTCATTAAGGAAGGAGCAGGAGGATTAAATTGAAAAATTAGTCATATATGGCCTCTTTCAGTATTGCTTTTTTTGCTTGCACTTTCTTTGTGTTAAAGTATCAGTATAGAATCCTAATTTGAGCTGACAAGTTGAATCTGGGCCAATTTGAATGTGTTGCTGTTTATGCTATTCTTGTATGCCAGTTAGTAGAAAAGTGCAGGAGTGGAGAAGTGCCTACCACTTATTGACTTTTCCAGTTGCAACGTGTATGATGAGAAGTCATGAGAGGTTCTGATCCTTCATAATCACATCAACAATTATGATGGAATGGCTGAGATCTTTTGTGTGATTGGAGATCTTGATTCTCATATCAGTTGTCTCCAATGACAATGGCCTCCTCTCTGAGCCTCAAGACCTTGTGATTTTTAACAGTCACCTGTTCTCTACTGATAGGTAGAGCCTTGCCCCTTTCCTTGTGATATTTTGCCCAACAACATGCAACATAGAAGAGCCTGAAAAAGGGTACAGGCCTTAGTGTTGAGTTGAGTCTGATAGCATGCCACTTACTGAAACTTGAGGTTAGGCTTAGCTACTGCATTTCTTTCATTCTAAAATGGATTAAGGTTTCACCATCTAACCTTGGGCCTGGGTGTGCAGTGTAAGCATTTAACTTTTGGACTTAGACATTGGTTATGCCTGGTTTAATTGGGTTGTGCATCTGGGGTGGATATGCTCTTTCAACTGGAAAGGAACTACCATATGCCCAGGACTAGCTGAAGAGTGAAGGTGGCATGGAAATTCAATACAGAATGAGGAAAGGTAATTAAAAATACACAGCTGAAATATCAGACCGGACTGTTACAGAAGACGGTACAAGGTCATTCTCATTTTGAAAGATATACAGCCAATAGCAAGAGGAGTATGACCATATATGGCATGTATCAATACCGTAATCTTCTTCATTCAGGATTGGAACCTCTCTAGTGACTTACTTTGCCCAGGAACTGGTCCAATTAAAGAGACAGCGTAAATATTTTCATGAAAGGGTTTATGAAGAGATTTCTTGAGTTTTTAGAGGGTGTCAAAGATCTCATATGTATCCAAAGGATTATATTCATGGTCTCTTTAGTTTTTTCTTACTTCTTATCTCCATTTTGAATGCTATCAGGTTTCATTGCAAATGCTACACTCGAACAAGCCTACTTAAGTTTTTATTCTTCAATGAGGTGACCTCTCTGGCTGGTGGCAGGGGTTGTTTTTTTTTAAATTATTATTGGGAACCTAGATGAGGCCCAGATTCCTTGGTCAATCTCTTTCAGTTTTATTTGAAATCTCATGTTTGAGAATGCTGAATCAGAGAGCTTCTTGTGTGAAAAATTATGGGGCATAAATGGGACATGGAGTAGGCTTATAGTAACCTACCATAGCATTCGTGTTTCTCTGGAATGGAAATACATGGTAATGGGGAACAGGATTTTTTTTGTTTTGCTGCGATTGCTTTTTGTACTCCTGCCCTAAATTAGTTGATTCTGAATAGCAGATTGAAAGGTGCTGTCGTGGCTTGGGTCATTGTTTTCCTTGTCAAAATGGCAGCTTACTTTGTTCCAGCATAATCCAAGTAGGCCTACAGGTATGCATACTGTGGACATAATTGTAAAGATGATCTGTAGAACTGGTTTTTTTTATGAGAGTCATCAACCACTGGTTCATAATAGGGAAGAAGTTGAGAGTGCCCTAACTCCTTTCACATAATTCTCCTATTCTCTGATGATTGAATGCTTGATCTGAATGTCTTTTCCTTCTTTTTTTCATACTTGCACACTCACCACCTTATTGTTTTTTTGTGATATGAAGATGAGAGTGAGAGCAGTCGTGGCTGTGACTTACGTCTTTGCAGTCGAGGCGTATGTTGTATTGTGATAAATGAGTCGACCGAGACCCAAGCACTGTGAGAGGTGAACGGATGGTATTCTGTTGATTTCTATACCGTTGCTTTATGTTGTAGATTACACACCAGATGTGGGTTGATGGATTCTTGAATCTCTTGCATGTGTATTATTTGTCCAAAGGGCCTATCATATTTTTCGGAAAGGCCTCTCGATGCGAGCACACGTGGAACTGCATTCAAATGCTTCTGATGATCTTTTGGTGGCATTGCTGTCCCTTTCTGTGGATTTATCATGCCACATGCTATCTTGTCAGGCCAGGTCGTCATTGCCTCTGCTGTATTCATGTGCAGTTTATGATGAAAGGAAACTGAAGATGAGGACAGAGGCCCTTGAGTATAAGGGAGCTAGCCTATTTGACAGCTGTAGCCAAAGTTGAGGTGCATTGTCTTATTCTTAACTCTTGTCAGGGGAGCACATTAATCTCCCTGAATCAGTTCTGATTCAGAGATTCTCAAGTAGATGATATATATACAGGGTGGACCAGGAATCACTTGTCACACATATAATGTACCTTCACTGATCCATATTTATCATCTTGTTACTTCTTACTCATCTAATGATATGCAGGTTGTTATAAACATATGCTGAACTGTGACAGACACCAGGGAGTATACCATTGAGTCCCAAGTGTCCATGTACATTCAATTGGATATACTAAATATGTGATGGGTAACTTCTTGTTCTCTCTCTTGAAGAACCCTTCTCTGTTTTGTTTGTATTCAAACAAACCATTCGATTTCCAAGTTATTGTTTGTGAAACTATTTTTTCTTCTGCACTCTATGCTGATTAATATTTGCATTTCCATCTAATCAGTCAGAAGAGGGCGATTGCCATGCTCATGGAAAGGAAGCGTAAATTCACAGGATGGGAAAGCCAGAAAAGTACCTCTGAGTTCTGATTAACACAATGCACATGTTATCAAATCTGAGACCCTGACATCTCGTGCCCTAGTCCATATCATTCTGCCACTTCTAGCTCCAAACCCAAGTTGAGACAAATTTCAGGTTTAAGGCAAAGTCGAGTTTGGACATCTCGAATTCAAATCTTAATGACTCGTGATAATCTGACTCTCGACCTTCCAAATCCAAGTCCACGCCATATGGTCACGTTCTCGTCCAAGTTCAAGCTGGACTCTGCCAGAAAACATCTCAAGTCATACCCCTGGAATCAGATTTGCGATTCAATGAGTCACATTCATTTTGATTTCCGGAAGAGAAATTGAATTAAGGACTGCATTTCACAGTTCCAGCATCTTAATCGGCGAAACAACAAAAATGAGAGAAGTTGACCAACAACAAATATGTCTTGAGCATTATACCGTCACAGCCATAATCACGATGTGAAGTCATGACCCATGAGACCACATTCACAGACGACAGTTGCACGAAAGAGCTTGAAACCCAGTTCACGTGCGGACGAAATGCCTCCTCGACGGTAACCCCGCCGACCTCGAGTTCGGAAGCGATGCATCACGCGCTGCTATAAAGGACGAAGACCTTCGTGGAACCCGTTCGATGAAAATTCCTGATAATAAATTTTATCATACCTTTCCCTTGAACAGGAGCTTCGTAAATGTAACGAGAATCATCGCTGTCTGAAGAATCTGGGTCTTTCATCGAAGCCCTCACTGAATGCAGTGTAAGCTTGAAAAAAAAAAGAAGTTATTGCTGCAACCTTACCAGTTAGTAATTTTTTAAAATACATTTCTAATAATTGACCATACCTTATACTCATTTCCGATGACACCCGGTCCCTGACTGCTGGCAACGGCCAAGTTCTTGCGATAGGAATGTGCAGGGCAGGGGACGATGGGGAACGTTGCATAAGGGCTGATCTCATCTTCATACTCTGAAGGGACGAAACGATCATGAAACGAGCCGAATCCTCGAGACGAGAGGCATCGAGCATGATTTTACCGAATTGATGGTCCCTAGAGGCAGTGGAGTACTTTTTCACGGATGCACCCTGAGAAGGCGGACTGCCTTCGCTCCTCCTCTTGCACCCTCCACCTGTATAATTAAGCATTCGTATGCGAAAGAGTTCCGCCCGAGTTTTGATGGAATGACGCTCGTTACCGTGCTTCCAGCAGAAGAGGATGGAAGCGAGAGAGACTACGGTGGCGAATACGGAGGCGATGATGGGAGCCAACACGCGAACGTTCCCCCAATCCCCTCCACCGAAACCCCCATCTCCATTCGACGTCTGAGAGCCTCGCCCCCGTATCACCCCGCCTGTGCGTCACGAGATCGGACGAGAAGATGAAAAGCACCATGTGATATTTTTTCATTTCGAAAATCTTCGAAGCGAACCTCGAGGGGAAGTGAGCACGGAGACCGTCTCCTCGGTGTCCCCCGCCTCCGTGAAAGCCGTCAGACGCACCAAGTACTCCTTCCCCGACGCGAGATTCTCCACCACGAACGGCGGCCCCACCGGCTTCTTCGGAAGAACTACACCCAGCCCATCCACCCTCGACACTCCTCGCCTCTCCCCTCCCTCCCCCTCCCACCCCAACCCACCTAGTATCCACGACGACTGCCCGTCCCGAAGCTTATACTCCGCCGAGAACGCCACGATCGGACATCCCTCGTCCTCCCATCCCCTCAGATCCAGCGTGAGCGAAGTCCCGTCGACCGCCAACAGATTCCTGTGATCGTCCAGCCTCGGCGGACGCGGCTTCGCCCCCCTCGTCGAGGTGACGAGGCTCTTGCTCTCCTCGCTCCAGCCCACCGAGTTCCGCGCCACCCCGTACAGCTCGTACCGCGTCCCGCACGATAGATCTGCCGTTTCGGAAGGGAGACATCGACCACCCATTCCCGTTAGTTTTATCCCTCCAATATTTATATTTTTTATTTTTACTTAAAAAAAAATGGTGTTCGTCCTCCTATATTCAGAGAGAGAGGGAGAAAAAAAAAGAGAATGCGAGTGCCGAGAATGCACAGAACAGAACTCCATCTTTCCTTCATCGCCCTGCCAAAACTCATGGGATCTGTCGCGTCTCGTACGATGAATCAAAAGAGATAAATGGAGCTTTCCGACGGGATGGACTTCCCCGTGAACGCCCACGGAATTCTGAGCCACGAGCAGGAACGAAGGACTAAATCCCCGCGAGACGATCGGGGGGGAAAGCGTTCGGCTTAGTTCGCAATTACTCAAATACGAGGATCCCATACCCCGGATCTCCGCGGAATGTTCCCCGTAGGGAGCCGTGATGACGGTCCAGTCGCTGTGCTCCGGGGAGACTTCTCTCACGTACACCCGGACGGATCGGATGGGGGATCCGCCGTCTTGCGGGATCTTCCATGCCACCCGCAGGCCGTTCTCCCATGCGCTCGACACTTCCATCTGGGGTGCTCCGGGTCGCCCTTTCGTCGGAACGAGATTCGTCGAGTCGGGTTCGGTTCGGACGAAGGAAGCGGGGGTGTTTCTTACGGATGACGTGAAGGCGATGGACGAGGTCGTCCGTTCCGAGTGGATTCCGGGCCGTGCATCGATACGCGCCTTCGTCCTGCGGGGTCACGTGACCGAGGAACAGGGCCTTGTCGATGAGAGGGGAGAGGGGCTTGCCGTCGCGGGGGGAGGTCCAGGTCAGATGGGGCTCGGGGTCGCCGAGGGTGTCGCAGGGGAACACGACGGATTCGCCGGGTTCTAAGCGGACGGTGCGGGGGAAGGTGAGGACGACGGGAGGGCGAGGGGAGTCCGGGGTGGAGGGGACGGTGCCGTGGACGAGAGGGGATCGCTCGCCGCCTCCCACCGAGTTCACCGCTTCGACCTGTAACGAGGGAGGTGAGTCCACGGAGGGACGAAAGGAGAGGAGGGGGAGGAGGGGGAGGAGGTACCTGGAAGGCGAGAGTGGTGCCGGGGTCGAGGCCGTGGACGGTGTGGTGGTACATGCTGGAGGGGAGGATCTCCACTTCCGGCTCCGAGGTGTGTCCCCGGTAGACGTAGAGGACGTAGTGGAGGATGTTTCCGTTCGGGAAGCGAGGTTCCTTCCACGCCACGACCAGGCTCTTCCCCACTCCGACGTGGACGCGCACGGCCTCTGGGGCGTCCGGGACTGCAAGGATCGCTTCGGTCAACGGAAGAAACGAAAGGGACGAAAGGGACGAAAGGGACGAGAACCGTCTGGGAGGGTGAGGCAGTAGATGGGGTCGCTCGGAGGCCCTTCGCCTCTCCCGTTGAAGGCCAGCACCGCGACCGTGTAATTGGTATCCGGGTGAAGATCCTCCAACGTCGCCTCTTCCCGCTCGAACACCTGGCTCTCCCGGATCAGTTTACCTGAACGGGCGAGGAGTCGTCAGAGGGGCCGCCGGGGGGTCGCCGAGGGGCGAAACGAAGGGATTCGAGTCGGTTTACCGTGGACGTCCCGAGAGATCTCGTAGACGACGCGATATCCTTTGAGGATCCCGTTGATCCTCGACGCCTTCGCCGGCTTCCACGACACTTTCATCTTGTGAGGATCCTCCGCCCGACACCGGACGCCGACCGGCGACTCGCTCGGCACTGCAGTCGACCCAGAAAAAAGTGAGTCGACCCGAAAGCGACACGAATCGACCGGGAAACGTCGCCTCACCGTCCTCGAGCGTCGAGACGCGAACGGGCCTGGACAGGACCCCGGCCCCCTTGGAGTTGAACGCCTGGACCGCCACGGTGTAGACGGTGAACTTCTCCAGATGATGCAGCCGGTGCGACTGACCCGAGACGGACACGAACGAGTAGTCCTCCTCCCGACGCCTCCCCGACGCCTCCTCCCTGCCGGGATCGTCGAGATCCTTTTTTTAATGGATCGTCGAGTTCCTTTATTAATGGAACGTCGAGATCCTTTATTAATGGATCGTCGAGATCTTTAAT